TGAATAAATAAATAAATAAAATCTTAAAAAAAAAAAGTAAAACTGGAATCTCAGGCCTCCAGATATTCTAATTTAGTGGTTCTAAGATAGAGTCTAGGAATCTGCATTTGAAATACATGTTCCCATGTGGTTCTAACATTTTACAATCTGAAAAACACAAACTTAGATCAAAGAGTGAATGAAAAAGGAAGACCGGGAAAGCCTGGTAGCTTAGAAAAGAAATCTCATTTTACAGATACGCTGATTTGGAAGATACCACAGTGGTATTTTCTTGAACTTCTCATGTATTCTTTCCCTAATATTTCGGACAGACAGGCATCCAACTCCTGTGCACACATTTCCATATACAAAAGAAACTAATCGTTTCTTCTCACACGGATCTCTAAATAGCAGAACTCTAGTATCATCCCTTCTGGCTACTACACAGTCTTGGTTCCTTTGACCATTCCCCGCTGACATTTCTAAATTTGCTATTCTGATTGGTGCACCAGTAAATACCATGTTAAGTGAATGCTGCCACATCACCTACAACAATGAGTGGGTTCTATTTCTTCACTTAAACATCAAACTAAATCAACTCCTTTGTATAGATGGTAGAAATTCTGTTAACATCTTGTTGCTTTTGAGCCCCATTCTAGTCTTTCTAAATAATTTTAAAATACAATCATATTAAAGCCCCACTTATCTTTCATGATAACCGTGATTTCTGGTTTCTTCTCTATCTTGTTAAGGGATTTTAGGAATACCACATAAGAACAAAGAGAGAGAGAGAGAGAGAGAGAGAGAGAGAGAGAGAGAGAGAGAGAGAAAGAAAAATCCTAGAAAGTTACCAGCACACCTAGAAAACAGAAAACAAAGGCCATGTAATAATCTAGGAAGAAATGAAAAAAGGACCAATCTTCCTTCTCACTTTCTCCTTAATTATCCCTTTGAAAAAAAAAATCATCATCCCCCCCACATTTTAACTTACCATGTACATCAGAAAGCCTCAGAGAAAACTGAAGGTCTGAGCAAACAAGGTCAGTAGGAAAACAGCTATTTCAACAACTGCCGATGAACTAATTTGAGCACCCATAAAACAAAGATCCCTCAAAAAAATACAGAACACCAACCACACCTATTCTAACAGTTCTTTGGAATCTCCCAAGAAAACCTGTATTAATATTTTCATTATCAAAAAGAATAGATCCTATCATTTACTTTGTTGTCTATGAAAATAAATCAGTAAGATTGTTCACTTATTTTAGGACATGCTATAAAAACTAGATTGGATATCAAAGCAGGACAGGTGGGATACCTCATGGAAATCATCTGATCCTTGTGCCTCAATTTCCCTATATGATCTGCTTCTATCAAGAGATTCTATCCAATAGAAAACTGTAAGAACATATTAGTCATAAAAATATTTTTAAACGACAGCAAAAAATGTTACAGGATCAAAAGACTGAAATATATTGGAACAGAATGAGGACCCTCTAAATGACTACTCAGTTTCTTTGACAGGGGAACAAAGGAACAAGCAGCAAGAGGTACTCAACAGGATGACAAGAAGGGGATCTGCCACATTCAAAGAGTAACACAGTGAGACAGAAAGAGAAGTTAAAGGTGTCATCAGTTCAAAGTGCTAGTTAAGTGAAGTTTAGCAAGGAACCCAGCCAATGGATGAGAAGATAAAGCCACAATAATGCAAACGTCACTGTGTTTTGCAAACACAGCTAGCATCATTATCAGAGACTAAGAAATGTTCCATGGATAAGCACCAGTGTGCCCTGAAATGTATGCATAATAGCTGTGATTGTTAGAAGGTGGACTGAAATTTAGAGATTGAAATTCTAATTCCAGAGTTCTGCTATTAAACTGAGGAATGTAACTTTCTGATACAAACCTTTCCTGTGATTATCTAAAAATTAGGAAAAGACCATCTTTTAAGTTCTCTTCCACTTTTCAAACTATAACAGTTTTACAGATAAAATAGGTGTGGATTCATAAAACTAATCTAAATATATTAGGTACTAATATAAAAGGTGCCTCTAGATGTAAGCATATAAACAGTGACATAGAAATTGACTATCCTGGGATCCCTGGGTGGCGCAGCGGTTTGGCGCCTGCCTTTGGCCCAGGGCGCGATCCTGGAGACCCGGGATCGAATCCCACGTCGGGCTCCTGGTGCATGGAGCCTGCTTCTCCCTCTGCCTATGTCTCTGCGCCTCTCTCTCTCTCTCTCTCTCTCTGTGACTATCATAAACAAATAAAAATTAAAAAAAAAAAAAAAGAAATTGACTATCCTGAAGACAGCCCCATACTAGAAGATCCAGTCTAAGATATGGCTTATGTGGAAAATAAATTAGGTAACAAGCGCCAAATTAATATTAACAAGATCAAGTTTCAAAGGAGGAAACCAATTATTACATCTTATTCATTTTATTTACTTATTTATAAAAAGATTTTATTTATTTATTCATGAGAGACAGAGAGAGAGAGAGAGAGAGAGAGAAAGGCAGAGACACAGGCAGAGGGAGAAGCAGGCTCCATGCATGGAGCCCGATGTGGAACTCGATCCTGGGTCTCCAGGATCAGGCCATCAGCAGAAGGCGGCGCTAGACCACTGAGCCATCCAGGGATCCCCACATCATTGTTATTTAACCTATCACTTTTTAAAAAATGATACTTACAACTAAGCAATTCTTAGATGACAGACGCACCGCTAATCTGAGGTTCTAGATAATGAATTGGTCTTAAATTCTTAAATGCAGTTAAGAATGATAGATACCAGTGGCCCTTCTCAAAAGGGCCAAAATACATAAAATACATACCCTTATGTATTTTAAATATTAGCACTTTAGAATCTTCAGTAGAATTTCACAAAAGAAATCCTTACTTCAAATTTTTTTTTTTTTAATTTTTATTTATTTATGATAGTCACAGAGAGAGAGAGAGAGGGAGGCAGAGACACAGGCAGAGGGAGAAGCAGGCTCCATGCACCGGTAGCCCGATGTGGGATTCGATCCCGGGTCTCCAGGATCGCGCCCTGGGCCAAAGGCAGGCGCCAAACCGCTGCGCCACCCAGGGATCCCCTTACTTCAAATTTTTGGCCTTGTTTCCGAATACAACTAAAATGTTCAAGTAGTTTCAGTAACTCCATTGTAGACCTTTTATTCCAATTTAAGGTATTACTAACAGGCTTCAACTATTACTCTGAGTACATTTATAGAAAGCTCCAAACACCTTTCTTTATTTTATTTTTTTTTAAATTTTTTAATTTTTATTTATTATTATTTATGATAGTCACAGAGAGAGAAAGAGAGAGAGGCAGAGACATAGGCAGAGGGAGAAGCAGGCTCCATGCACCGGGAGCCCGACGTGGGATTCGATCCCGGGTCTCCAGGATCGCGCCCTGGGCCAAAGGCAGGCGCCAAACCGCTGCGCCACCCAGGGATCCCCAAACACCTTTCTTTAAAACAAAAGCAAAGTGTAGACAGTCATTAACTTCCAGTAAAACAAAACAAAACAAAACAAAAACACTCAAGGGCAGAGAATGCCTATGGGAATGCCAGCTAATTTCTGAGTAACAAAATTAACATTCATATTTGGTTATTTAACATAAAAGGCACTGAAGAATATTGAAAAGATAAGTCAAAAGTTTTGGGTTCTAGTTCGTAGTTCTGCCACTAATCAAGCGATCTCTTAATATCCTGACTTTCTCATTTGTAAAGAAAGGGAAACTGTAATGATCTGTAAGCTTCCATTTCAACTCTAAGTATTTTCCTATGGTCATGATTTTAGTAGCTTGAAAACAGGAACAGAAAACTGATTTTGCCCCCCCCCCCCCCCCCGGCTTCCCACAAGAACAGTCTTTGTCAAGAAAAGCCTGAGTCTTTTCATATTGTCTTCCAACCAAAAAAATAATAAAAGGAGACATATTTAGGGTTTGTGCATCTTCTAATCAGACACTATTAATCATTTCTTTTAAAATTAAATTACCTACCTCACTGGGGTGTTGTGAGGATTAATTCATTAGTGTTTGTAAAGCACTTTGAGATCCTCAGGTCAAAGGCGCTATAGAAGTGCAAAGTAGTAGTATTATTACTAGATTCTTTGCTTATTTAAGGAACTTCACAACCCTTTAAAACCTAACTCTCTGTTATGATTTAGACGTCTATTTGTAAAACCTTGCAATTTATGCATTACTTTAACTCTTTTTGGATATATAGACAGGAACAGGATGTTTCAAAATAAATGATTTTAAATAAGGTTTAACTTTGATCTACAAATGGAGGAAGAGAGCAAGGGAAAATCTCTAGTGTGACAAATTTTGTTTAGCATAAGATTTTAGTGAGAAATCTTGTCAATTAGATTTAGAAGTGTGCCTAAGCTATACCCAAAACAAAACCTCACTTTAATCTCCAGAGTCTGCAATGAGAAATTCCTTTCTTCAAAGAGAAAAGGAAAGTTTTAAAATCAACTCCATTTTAAATGGGTACTGGGTTTATAAATTACATTATATGGGTATACATGCAATTGTTATTTAAAACTACTTTATTTAAACTACAGTAACAATATTAGTATGAATTGATGTCAAAATAACTGAGCAGTTTTTTCTTTAAACTAGCCTCCCACCCCCAAGTACACAAAGCTAACTAGGCATTGAGAAGAGATCAAAGCAATTTTGCTTTATGGAGTTTTAAGAAGAAAAAAAAAAGGGCCAAGGCTTCAAAACCAATTAAAATCTTGGATTAATTCCACCACTTCCTATTCCTTTCTCTAACCAAATCTTCTAACAATTAAAGTGCTAAGTTTTTTAATCAAAACCACACACATACACACAAACACACAAAGCTAAGAGAAACAGAGCTATCTATCCGTTGGGCATTCTGCTTGATAAACAGATACTTCTTTAAAGAGGGGGAAAAAAGTCATCCTCTGATGAAATACTTCAGTGCAACACAAGTTCTAGCCCCAAGAACAAACTGAAATTTAGATATTAAACTTTAAACACTTACCTCCTGCTCCTGTTGAAAGATGACAACTCTACCACCTTTATCTCCTGTTGCTAGTAATTCTCCAGAATGATTAAATTCTACTGTAGAAATTATATCTGCTGTATAATTGAAAAACAAAGAAAAAATGATGTTAGTTTTTCTTTCCCAAATTACTACAGTTTCAGAATTTAGCATGTTTATCCTAACACAGTCCAAGCCTATAGATCAACCTGTCATCAGAAATAAGTAAACCTAAAGCTCTTTTATGAGTATTTTGGTTTTCCAAAAGAACACTCTCTGGAATAAATATGACACTACTTTAATAAGAACACAAGAAATACTGAAATACTAGTGATTTACTGGTATTCCATTAAAATCATTAATGTAATCAACAATTTGTGAAACACTTGATAGCATCATTAAACAATAATTATGCTAATTTTCTTTCTTATATCTTTTGATAAGGTAACTTTATCCAAAGGTGGCCTACAAAATTAAAGCAGATATAACTGAAATAGGTAAATCTTATTTTATTTAAAGATTGTATTTATTTATTCATGGGAGAGAGAGAGGGAGAGGGAGGCAGAGACACCAGAGGGCGAAGCAGGCTCCATGGAGGGAGCCCTACGTGGGACTCAATCCTGGGACTCCAGGATCACACTCTGAGCCGAAGGCAGGTGCTAAACCGCTGAGCCAGCCAGGGAACCCCAGAAATGGGTAAATTTTAAATGAAAAAATAATTTCAGATGGAATTTTAGCAGCCAAACTATTAATTCAAATTATGGGCTCTCAAACAAAAGTCTGCAAACAGAACACAGGTATAGCAGAAATGCTTTTGCTATGCACCTTCAACTCTTCTTCCGACTCCCAAACACTGCAAAGGCTACTAGAATCAGTTGTTACACCCAAAGTCAGTGCTAACTTCACAGTAAAATCAAATAAAACTACAGGGTTTTCCGCTTGCTTTTTGACACCAGAGCCATTTTTCTAAGGAAAAAATAGCTAAGTTACAGAATTAGGCATTGAAATAAAGCAACTACACTGTATAATCACCACTGTCACTAACAAGTTCTTCACTATAAAGTATGATGCCACGTTAGGAAAAACTCCATCTATATGTACTTGAAATAAGTAAACTTTTTCTACCAGAAAATGGTAATTTTCTAGTCTATATTAGCTCACTTAAAAATGCTGACTTGATATAAAAAAGAACACTATATACCTTAAATTCTTAACATTACAGACCAATGTATCTTTAACAATAATCTGCCCAAAACTTCATTTTACAGTTTTTTTTTTTTGTTTTGTTTTGTTTTTACTGATTTTTCCAAGACCAGCTTGATTCTGAAAAGCTTTCTTTGGGATCCCTGGGTGGCGCAGCGGTTTAGCGCCTGCCTTTGGCCCAGGGCACGATCCTGGAGACCCGGGATCGAATCCCACGTCAGGCTCCTGGTGCATGGAGCCTGCTTCTCCCTCTGCCTATGTCTCTGCCTCTCTCTCTCTCTCTCTGTGTGTGACTATCATAAATAAATAAAAATTAAAAAAAAAAAGAAAAGCTTTCTTCACTTTCTCTACTGTCTAGGACCAAGGCACTTTACCTTTTTGGAACACTCTGAGAACTACCAGAAGTTACACATGCTATGCCAATAAACTGCCTATGTTTTAAGTGTGCACAAAAATTTGCATATAACTTCAGAAGGTATGGACAGCACCTCACTTCCAGGTTAAAACCTTATCCCAGAAGCCCACCATGGTCAGTGGCATCAAGGAGGAAAGAGTAAGTTTAGTGTTTGTGTATGTAACATAAAAGTATAAAACTGAGTATGTTGGACTGCAAAGCGAAACATGTATAAATACTTAAAAAGTCATTCTATTTTTCTTAAGTTTTTAATTTTAGTTCTAGTATAGTTAACATCATACAGTGATGTATTAGTTTCTGGTGTACAAAATAGTGATTCACTAATTCTATACAACATTGTTCAGTGCCAACCATGGTAAGTGTACTCAAAATCCCCTTCACCTGTTTCACCCATCCCCTACCCACCTACCCCCTGGTATGCTCTATTTGAAACGAGCACATTTGGTTTAAATTATTTTCTTTTTCAACAAGAACATTTTTTTATTTGAAGCATACTTCAGAATATATGGTTCTAAAAAAAAATATATATATATATATATATAACATTCCATCCAAGAAAAATAGAATACACATTTTCTTCAGGCACAGAGGAATCCCCTGATTAAATCACATAGAGACCTAACAAATATTACAAATTTATGAAGATTGAAATCATACCAAGTGTATTTTCCGATCACAATGGTACAAAACTAAAGATCAACAATAAAACAGTGCTGGAAAAGCTACAATGTAAATATTAAATATTTAATATGTAAACAGCAAGCAACACACTACTGCACAAGCAACGGGCCAAGTAAGAAATCGAATGTAAAAGCCATTCTATTGGGTGCTCTGTACTGCACTTAACTTCTGTGGTGAATATGTTAAAGGGTTAAAAATATACACAGTCCCTGCACTTAAAAGTACATTAGAGTACATGTCTGCGACAAAACCTAAGTAGAAGCTAACAATATCAGGCAATATATGGACTCACTTCTTATTTGAAGATTAGGTTCTAAAATTAGGGAATAAAAATCATACCTAATAAAATTATCTTTAAATTCAAACCCCTCACACAAGCATCACTTAGAGATGCAAATTCTTTCTGCCATCAGTCCAACTCTGCGAATTTCCCCTACTGCATTACTAGTTTATGGTTTCTTTGACTAACACATCAAATAAGCTACTTGATTTGAATATAAAAATCATGCTGCATCAAAAATATCTGAACTCTAGAACTCTTGACTTGGTAAAATGCTAACCTAACACCAGATTTCATTTTCCTGTTCACCCAATGAATACAGGCAGAGTTGGCTCAGTATTTAAATGATTTCATCTTCTTCCCAGGTCCAAATTGTTGCATTCACCTAAATTAAAGAAATCATAACTGCCTGTTAGGTAGATAAGCTGCCATGGCTATAACTTAACAGTGATAAGTCAATGATGATGGTATGACTAGCCTGACTAGCTAGCTTCCTGGCTGAGTAGTGAGAAAAGCAGGACAGATAGGTATGCTGCAAGATGGGTCGATTTCTAATGGGGGAAAGATCTTGATCTTCCTTAGGTAAACTGAAGAGGAAAAAAATATAGAGATGATTAAGTCAGAAAGGAGATCATTATAGTAAAAGGACTGAAGAGAGATGTAGGATGGGGATTCTACAGCTGTATTATCTTTAGAAGACAGAACAAGAACCAAGTAATAAAGCAGCTTTAATTACACTACCCCCAGGTACTGAAGACTGTACTGGTTCACGAATGCAGTCATTGAATATGTGATAGGGAGGGGAAGAGAAGTGTGTAGGTCTCCATCTGCGTGCATGTAAGAGAAAGAAGGAGGAGGCAGAGAACAAAAAAAAGACCAGTATTTTAGTGCAAGCTGCAACAGGAATAATAAGACATCTGTTCTTACATATGGTAACTAACTAGAATTTAAATAAAAATTTGAAAAAGAAATAAAGACATCTGTTCTCACAATGGTCACTCATCTCAGGAATGGTTATTTTACAACAACTAGAACTCCAGAGTAAAGTCATGTTATAAATGCTTAATACTGAACCACCTTTGCAGAAAGGTTACAAAACTTTAACAGGCACAGTTGAGATAAACTTAAGAATCCTACAAAACAACTAAACTAGCCTAAGTATCAAGAGAGACCATACACCCAGAAGTCAACCCACTTTAAATCCTTTAGTAATGGGGATCCCTGGGTGGCTCAGTGGTTGAGTGCCTGCCTTAAGCTCAGGGCGTGATCCTGGAGACCCGGGCTCGAGTCCCGCATCGGGCTCCCTGCATGGAGCCTGCTTCTCCCTCTGCCTGTGTCTCTGTCTCTCTCTATGTCTATCATGAATAAATAAATAAATAAATCTTTAAAAAAAATCTGTTAGTAATGAAGAGAAACACTGGATGAATGGCACACAATTTTCTCAATTTACAGATATTCTTAAGATACTGGTGTTTCTTACTATTCATCTTGCCAAAAGACAACAAAAGAAAAAAATTTGGAAACAGCCAACCAGGGATGCCTAGGTGCCTCAGTCAGTAGGGCATCTGCCTCAAATCAATATCTCATGTCTCCGGATGGAGCATTGGGCTCCCTGCAGGGGAGGGAGCTGCTTCTCCCTCTCCCTCTGCCTCCCGCTCCCCCTCTCTTTCTCTAACAAATAAAAAATTAAAATCTTAAAATAAAAAATAAATAGGCACTGTATCATGGTGTTCCTTCCTCCCTTCCCCCCAAAACAAGAGATACTGTGATTTCTGGATACTCAGTCTTCTGTGTAAGTGTTAAGAACCATCACATAGCCAAGCACCTATTAAATCTCCAAGTTTATGATGATGCTTTTTGAGTTGTTTTGACTTGTAAAATGCCACGATCTCACAGGGTCTCACTGAGAGTACGACATATGAAAGGGAGGAATAAAAGAACAAAATCAAGTGCTGCTTAGAGAATAATAAAAATATACAGGAATCACTTTTGAAGAACACTAAAAAACTGAGATTTGAAATGTATGTGCCATGGCATCCTGGAGTATCAGGAATGGGTTAGGAGTTTGACTAGATGCTGCAAAAAAGCACCCAAATCTGTAACCTCCCATTATGAACAACCTATTTACCTCAGTGTCATACTGACCTAACTGCTTCCTGGGGATACCATGATCTGCAAAAGGCGAGGAAGCATGGTTCTAAAAACAGTGCTCCTATTACACACTATACCCAAGCAAGGTTGGCCAAATACTGCTATCAGTTTTTGAAAAATAATAATAAATCTATTCCTAGAAAATAATCCTCCTAATATTCCATACCATTTTAAAAAAATAGTAGATAATTGCGGAAAGTATACCATGTGCTGCTCAACAGAACTTTGTTTCAATGGAAGGACACTATTATCTACACTGTTTAATGCAGAAATCACAAGCCACATGTGGCTCCTTAATTTCTAATTTTAGCCATACATGGCTAGTTGCTACCACACTGGACAGTCTAAAACATTACAGAGTGGACACT